TCGCCATCCCTGGATGTATTTAAAAGCATCTAGATGGGCTCGAGGATATGGTGTAGCAGTGGGCTGGTAGAGTTAGATAACAGTTGGTAAAGGTACTTCCCGACCACAGTGATTCTGTGATTGTGTGACTGTAACGGGGGCGAGTGTCCTTCCTCTGGGCTCCCAGTGACACAGGGTGACCCCAGCCCTACTGCAGCCTCATGCAATACCCTCTCTTTGTGACAGGCCTTGCACAACCAGATGATCACTGCCGTCCAGGAGATCAGCAACCTGATCGAGCCCGTGGCCAGTGCGGCACGGGCCGAGGCCTCACAGCTGGGGCACAAGGTAACATGGGGATGATGCCGGGGTGCTCGGTGCACGTCGAGGAGCTCCGGGCGGGGGGAAATGCATGAGACAGCTGGTGTTGGAAGGTGCTGATGCTGATGCTGCTCTTCCCTAGGTGTCCCAGATGGCTCAGTACTTTGAGCCACTCATTATGGCAGCTGTCGGTGCTGCCTCCAAAACGCCCAACCACCAGCAGCAGATGAACCTCCTGGATCAGACCAAAACACTGGCCGAGTCCGCCTTGCAGATGCTGTACACAGCCAAGGAGGCTGGTGGGAACCCCAAGGTGAGCAGGAGGGACACATGTGGGTGTCACGCTCCCTTCATGTGTGGGTACTGCATGGCACACATGCCAGACAGAACCCCAGGGTGAGCATGCAGCGTCCCTGTCAGGAGGAGAGCCACTGCCTGCCTTACCTTGTGCTGGCTTATCCTTGCAGCAAGCTGCCCACACCCAGGAGGCTCTGGAAGAGGCAGTGCAGATGATGAAGGAAGCAGTAGAGGATCTGACCACCACCCTGAATGAGGCAGCCAGCGCTGCAGGTGTCGTGGGAGGCATGGTGGACTCCATCACCCAGGCCATCAACCAGGTGAGGGGAGTGTAGAGCAGACCTGGTCAGGGATGGTGATGGGGGAGAGGAAGAATCAGGGTTGAGCTGTACAAGGTCTTTGGGCTGGAGTTGGAGCCAGAGTCTCCTGATGGTCTCTTGCAGCTGGATGAAGGGCCCATGGGCGAGCCAGAGGGGACATTTGTGGACTATCAGACCACAATGGTGAAGACAGCCAAGGCCATCGCAGTGACTGTGCAGGAGATGGTAGGTGCAAGCAAGCTTATCACCGCGGAAGGCACTGCCAGCCACCCAGGCAGATGACCACATTCCTTGCTTGCCCGTTGTGGTGTAGAGCTCCTCCAACTCCCGCTCTTCTTCCATTGGCAGGTCACCAAATCCACCACCAACCCAGACGAGCTGGGCATACTGGCCAACCAGCTCACCAACGACTATGGGCAGCTGGCGCAGGAGGCCAAGCCAGCTGCCCTCACCGCGGAGAATGAGGAGGTGTGAACCTGGGGGGGACAGTGCAGGAGCTGCTGTGGGCCAGAGCGGGTCTGGTGGAGTGTCAGAGCAGAGGACAGGGCTACTTTAACCTCCTGTCAGAGCTGGGGACAAGCAGTGCTCACCTCACCGGCAACATGGTGTGGAAATGTGGAGCAAAGCCATGTTTCCTTTTTCACCTTCCCGAGTGGGAGGACTGGGAGAAGGGAGCTGGGTGGGGGTGGCTAGTGTTTCCCAGCAGGTATTGTGGATGTGGGGCTTAGTTCCCTGCTGGCTCCCTCATGCATGTGTTTCTCTC